TTGACCCTGGATGTGTCTGATGCACAGTGCCCCCTAGTGGGCAGAGGAGTTCAGCTAAGCCTCCAAGAGGCAGAACACACGGTGATTTACAGGAGGAGCGCTCTCGGGCCCTGCCTTCTGCTTCATCTTCCAGGGTACACGGCTGAGTGAGTCACTGTCGAACCTGGCCGTCTCGGCCGCTCCACCCCCGCCCTGCCGGTTCTGACACTGTCTGCCTCCCCCCCCCAGGAGAGACCAGCCCATGGCTGATCCCCCCCCGGCTGCTCGATAATGACTGCGTCGCTGTCATGTCAGCCGTTTCTGCCGTCGATCACAATAAGCCCCGACGCCTCTCCGCTGTGTCTCAGGGCCTCATTTAAACCTCATGAAATTCCAACAGTGAAAAGCATGACATTAGAGCGCCACTCGGGGCCTGAAGTGTGCATTGGAAAGCTCAGTAAAATCCACTTAGGATAGACAGGGCTGCCAACGTGAAGTAAGCTGCCCACATTTCCGTACACGGGGCAGGGGCAAAGCATTCACCGACTGACTGATACTTAGCTTCCTTTTCTGCCGTGTTCCAGAGACTGATTCCCAAATATATATTACAGCTGAGAATGGTCTTTGATATCCCATCCAAGGCAGATGGTAAAAATGGTTTCTCTCCATGGAGCCTCTGTCTGACCCAGCTTCGAGCAGCAGGATGTGTTGAACCACCACACTTCCTGCTCAGGAAAAACTGAGAGAGACAATTTAATTCAGATAAAAAAACTTAGCTCCTGGTTATGACAGACCACTTTCATGACAAATACTGCCGAATTGTACCATTCAGTATACACAGGAGTGCTGTAAGCGGGGGGAGGGGGGGAGTTAGGACAATTCCAAGGGCCCCGGAGTGACAGGGGCCCTAATAAATTTGGAAAAACTGGACCAGTCTGGACTGGGGAGCCCAGTGAGATATGCTTTCATAGGGCCAAATCTTTAGCAATGCCCCTGAGTATGGAGAATGGGGGGGGGGTGCTTTTTATCTAGGGATGCTTCATATCTTCCTATTTGCTACAATGTGCCCTTTGGGCTTTGGCATTCTGAGATGCTCATTCTATTCCCCGCAAACACGTATCACTGTCTTTTAGAGCATAACCTCCCCTAAATGGTGTGACACTGTACTGCATGGAGGAATATGCAAGATGGGCACTTTAGGAGAAGTTCGAGATGATTCTCTGGGGAATTCTGTGCTGGTACATCAGCTCGCTCTCGCCTTTTCCCCACACAGAATAAACAGGGACTCCTTCATGACAGCTCAGTCAAAATCAATTTCACAGCACTGGAGCCACATCGAGAATGAATAAAGTATTCAGCAGTGGAGGGTTATAGCCAGAAAAGTTTTAGTACTTCACCAAACAAGAAGAGACAGCTTCCGTAATTATCCTTTGATCTGTCAGATTCAGATCCCCCCACATCGCAATCAAGGTGTGGGAAACAGTCGGAAAGCTATTTCCGGAGAACCGCAACGAGCTCAGATGAGAGAGCAGCTCTTTTTACAGGACTGTTAGCGCCCACGCTAACGCTAATGCTGAGCACCCCCACGCTAACAGAGCACTGCACAGGTCAGGTGTGCTGTGGGTTGCCAGCATGGAGGACAGGAGGACAGAAAGGCACTGAGGAATCAGCACCCGCTTATCACTTACACTGTTCACACATGTATAAGCACCGGCCACTGGGGGGCGAACCTGAGGCAGGCAGTGGCCTTGCCTTCACACTAAGGGTGGCACTACCAGCTTGTGGAGGTGTGGAAGCACAGCAGACTGGCCCCTGTCAGCACCAAAGGCCACTGTGGATCTCAGGGATGCCGGCTCTTGGGGATCTGGCATGACACTCATCCTTCTTACGGCAAATCTATATTATTCCATTATAAAACCTAAACTTAGCTACATCAAAAGTGTTGGGGCAGTTTGCAAACCCTACAGGCTGTTTACAAGATAATAAAACTGTTACATACATGTAAATGTGTGTGCAAACTTGTCTCAAACTGAAAATCCCACACCAGCCAGCTGACCGAAGTTGGCAACCCTGGGATCTGGATGGCTGAGGCCGGTGGGTTGAACCAAAGAAAAGCCCCGCCCACTAGGGACACGATTGGTCTGGGAAAAGCATACTTACCATTTATAAATGGAGGACAGAAGTGTTTGCAGGCTGCTGGGCTAAATGCAGGCATGCATCTGTTCATCCATCTTATTTCCAAGCAAAGTCCCAGGGTGTAATAAAAGCTTGGTTAAGCAACATGCAACCACCCGAAGAGACCAAGCTCCTCACGCAATTCACAGCCTTCGAAACAGGAAGACCCACAATGCATGTCAAGACCAAAGTCCTACTCATCTCTAAAATGATGAGTTATTCTATAAGACAAAGATTATGTAATTTGACAAAACTTTTCTGAAAAGCGATGTGCAGGGAGCTCCAGCAGATCCAGCATTGATTGGGAACACAAATGCCCACGGCAGGGAGCCTCCAGAAATAGTACAAACTGTCTCCCACATGCTGGGGATCCACAATAGGATGAATGCAGGGCAGAAACGGGCCTGAACAGTAACAGCCACCGGCCAGGTCCAGCCTTCTGTGGCGCACAGTGGAGCTCCTTGTGGCGGACGACTGGGAGACACAGAGCTATATGGGACAGCGAGTGAAGGCCACTCCGTCCACAAGTCGACAAAGATCAGGTGCAAACACGGCCAGCAAGCCAGGCTCTGCGCCTCCACCTTACCCCGAACCCTCTCTAGTCACACAGGCAGCCTATTTGTAATGCTACATCTTTAGCATAAATATTAGGCGAGAGACCGCATAACATTGTGTACTGACGACCAGCATCTGTCTGAGCAGATTTGGCCCAAGCTGGAAAAATGCTTATGAATAAGGAGGCATCTTTGGAACTGTCAGTGCCGCCCCTGGTGTACGGCATCACCTCCACATGGGATGAGAATCAACGATGAGTTCATTTTTGCTATGCAGCTTCCTGGAAAGAACAAACCCTTGTCAGTCCCTATGGAAGCTCAGGTGTATCCCAAAGACGAGGTGAGACTGCGAGTGAGTCGGTCTAAGGATTCAGCTCAACAGGGGGGGGGGGGGGGATGCTAACCTTCAGGCTGGAAGTCAGGGCCTCCAGTATTTTCCGTGACCTCAGCCTTGCGATTTCTCTGCCCCAGCCAGCAGCACGCTGAGCTGAAGCTGGCAAGTCCGCACCGCCGCTCACTGCCTGCTGGTCTGTGATAACCCAGAGTGACTGGAGATTACATTAACCATCATGCCCCACACTTCACCCATTAGACGAGAAGCTCGGGTCATCTTAGTAAGCCATTAGCAGTCAGCAATATCTGAACATAACAGTGCTTGCTGGCATAGTACTGAACTGAACTGAACTTTATTGTCATTCAGACTATAAAGCAAAGAGTGTACAACTGAAGGAAACTGCTTTTTCCCTGGCGCAATGTATAAATAGACATAAGCCGCGTGCACGCTATACAACAGCAGATAAACACAGTGGACAGCAGACAGTTTATTCCACATTATAAGAAATATTGCACGTTATATTTCATGTTGTTGCATTATTGCACAGTGTGACAAAAAAATGGTGGTAAAGTGCTCAGTGACAGGAAACAAAGTAATGCACAGAAAAAGCAGCATTTTAAGAGATCTGAGTTCCTGATTTATGTGTTCGAACAATCTGTGTGTGTGTTCAGGAATTCAACGGTCCCAAAAGTCCCAACAGCTCAGTATGTTGCATGCTGATAGATGGAGTTCAGTCTGACGAAACTCCTACTGAGACTGGCCGTCTTGCACCACATGCAGCGGTAGTGTTAGCGCTAGTAGGAAGTCATGCCCTGAATGTCCACATTTAAGAATAAGAGAAATCACCAAACATGTGGTCTCAGCATCTCCAGCCAGGCAGTAGGCAAGTGCTACTTGAATAGGCCAATAACAGCAAGGAGAAGCCTTGATATCTAATCTGTGCCCAGCTTAATCACATGTATATATATATACACACACATACACACACACACACACACACACACACACACACACACACACACACACACACGCGCGCGCGCAGAAAGATATAGTCAAAGTAATTTTGTTTTATATGCACACCAGATTTCTGAAAAACATTCTTGATTAAATTACAATAACATTACATTGTCACATGACATATGCACAATGTTACAATGTTGAGGGCACGAGGATAACACACTTCCGGTTTGCATGACCTTACTAACGTTAACTCCTAAAGGGGGTGTCATCCATGAGCAAAGAGTCGCTCTGGAAACAATCTTCTGCGTGAATCGCTTAATATTCCAACTTCCATGTAATGCTCAACAGTCACATTAGGGTAATTAAAAAGCAGATAGCACAAACACGTTTTGTTGTTATACTTAAGTTACCGTCCAACTATAAAACGTATTAACCTTGTAAGATATGTACTTTTCATTCTGTAACATTAACGCTTGGTATTAATATATCTCCCTTTACCAAAGTCTATTGCAATAAACAAACGATCTCATATCAAACTTCCTGCTACCATCTGGCATATAATTAATTTCAATAGCTGCTGAGACGTGGAACACATCTGATAGAATAACAAAAGGCAAATTATTATTTGTTGTGCCACGATAAGGATGATGTCCAAAATAAGCCAGGCAAGCAAGCTGCACGGACGACACTCAGACATGCATACCAACTAAATCCAATTAAAGATGCAATGTTCCAGCAAGCACATGATCAATGTGTGGGAGAATATATACACGCGGCTTAATTACTTTACTGTCTTAATTTTAGCTGGCCAATTTTTTTTTTTCTAAATTGTTATTCAAATAGTTATGATGTTCAAGGTTACTTTGCAACAAAATATGCGAGGGATTTACAATGCAGACATAGTAAATTTCCATATCCAACACTCTTCCACATGTAACAAACACATTGCACCTTTCATTGTATAACTACGGTTAAAAATATAACATCCATTTACTTACCTGTGAGAGGGTCAAATGAGCCATCCAGTTCCCTTGAGTCCGAGAAGCTTTGATCCAAACTTTTTTCCTTCATTGCGGACTAAACTAATTTGTTCTAGCTGATTATAGGTCTGTACTTACTTGAAGCAATACAGAAAATGCAGCGCAGCGGGAAAAGATTTCTATCCAAGAACCAAACGCAACTCCTCGCCGTGTTAGTGCTGCCGTATCAAATGCTCGTACGTGTTCCGACAGATGTAGAGATGCCAAAATATGATGAAATATTACTGTTGCCTTATCACGCTTATTAACCTTGTAAGGACACTAGCATACAGTTCAGCTCAAGCGGTTTATAACGGTGTGTAGCGGTCAAAGAACTATCAGCTCGTACGAGGTTGTGCATGGTTTAACTCACCTCTGCTCTCAGGTACGCATCACACAATCCGGGAACAATATCATCAAAGTGTCCTTCCATTCAGTCTAAACACCAGGCGTAGAAATGTCGTCAGAGCAGAATTAAAATATGTATATTTCCCGAATCACCGATTGCAGGGATCGCCTTCAGGTCCTCCTATACTACGAGCGACCTCCCCGTACAGACCGCTGTTGGCTTTACGGTCTCGGAAATGTTTCCGTGTTCGGAAGGTAACCCTCTGTTCCAGTCGGCCAGTCTAATTAACGATGGCCATATGGCGAACAATTCATTTTGATAAGTGTATTGCGATGTGACTAAATACATAAATCACCCCAAATATTCAGTACAATTTAGTTCTGTCGTTTGATCAGATTAATTTTCATAAAAAGATTTTAGTCAACTTAAATGTATTGTAATGCACTTTAAACTGAATCCAACTAAATGAAAACAAGTCAAATTACAAAACAATGAAATGCTGAGGGTATACATATCCTTCACAATGACAAGATCACGGGTTTCCCAAAACAATTAATCTTGAAATTTTATGAGGGATTTTGCGATGGGGCAGCGCGGTGGCTCAGCATTCGAGTAAATAACACTGCTGCCTCATAATTCGGGGACTGGGGATTTGAACCCAACCTCTGCTCGGTGTGCCTGGTGCCTTTTCTTTAAATGGTATCATTTCATAATTGTTGAAAACGAAGAAAATGTGTATGAAAGGCAGAGTATTATATGACTGAGATTCCGCTGAGCCTAAAAAAGAGCGGACTTGAAAACCAAAAACAAGCAAATTTCTTTGTGTGTTAAGCCAAAATACTTCAGAACTCATTGCCAATCCACATTTTCCTATTTGGAGACATGTATCTCACCTACTGAAAATTGTAGAATATGCATCATTAACTGGCCAGAGGACAAACACGGGGGTCTGCAATGACATACATAGCTTATATAAACATTTTGCCCTGTGAACAACATAGTGAAGAATGCAAACTGAGCAGTGAACGTAATCTGTTCTGACAAGGAAGGCAAGTCATGATACAGTAAGCAGAGCTCTAGCAGGTGAATTTTAGGAGCCTACAATCTCATCATCCTATTATTATGTATTTTTTTCACCATTTCTTAATTGCAACCTAGGATTTCTCATCGAATATCACTCTATTCTGTCAGAAGAAATGCTTCACGCTGCATGAGTCATTCATTGGACCAAAATAGCAGGTATAACATGCAGCTGTGGGAATCAGAGTTCCAACCATCCAGAAGTATTACCACTATGACCCCTTTAAGACGGGTACGCATCTGACAGCACCATGCGCCGGTAAATAATTGCGTAATCATTCCAAATGAGAAAACCTGTGTGGCATGTTACTATTTTAATGCAAAATATGCTCTTAAACAAACCATTGATTGCTGCTCAGAAGGATCTTTGTTATTAAATTATAGCTCTGGTGAATTACCAATTAGCAGGCAAACGCAGCGGCGAGGGCGGAGATCCACTATTTCCGTAAAGGACTGAAAGTGTCCCCCTTTTGACTTTCCCCTCCTCCCAATCGGTCTTTGACAGTTGATGTCACACTCGCTAAAGTCGCAGTGTATTCTGGGTCGAATCGCCATTTTGCAGGTATATAACTCAAGAGCAAGCGTTTGCATTCGCCTTTATCCTTCGAAAGATGGGATACTCGTGCTGTGTGAAAGGCTGTCATACTAAATCACAAGGCAGAAAGGTGGACCACAACATAAGATTTTTTCGGATTCCCACTTGGAAAAAAGGATATGGACGGCAGGTAGAGGAGGTGTTAAATTATTCCATGTATTATTATTTATTATGCATTTGTAAGGCTGTCTACATGATTACAGTTAACTTCATCATATAATTCCTAATAACTTAACTTGAACATAAGAAATTTATTGAAGTAGCCATTTGGCTGCATCCAGACCTGTTAGAATCTAATATGCCTGGACCATGTCCCCTCTTAGTCTAATTTGTTCGAGGCTGTACAGATTTGTTTGCAACTTGATTACAAGTTAGCGTACCTTTGCAGTGACGATTGTGTTGTCGCAGTCCTGCGTTCGAAATGTGAACAGATCCTACACCCAGCCATTGATGAAATGTCCGTGGGCTTCAAGAGATTTATAGTTCTTGAACTGTTCATATGTGTAAGCGCTGATACCATAAACAAGGTAGTTTGTTATATCCAGAGATGAAGTTAGAGGCAACAATGTCGCGTCGGAATTCCATTTTTTATGTGAGATCATACGGATCTATATTGCTGATTGTTGACAATTTAGCCAAATACTGATCCCTGGCGTCCTTCGTAAGTTTTTCTCTGTAAGGAATTTTCTCGTTCTGCTTTTTCTTCTCCATTCTTCCTAGTGTTTGCGTCCGCGAATACCTTCAAAATGGCGAATGGGGGCGTGTCAGACAGTGCAGACACGTGACTGACAAAGACCGATCGCGAAAATCGATCCGCGGGGAAACCCCCCTCACCCCTCCCTCCCACAAAATGTACAAGTCAGCCACCCCCCATTCAGTGCCCCTGCACTTGAAAAGTCCGAGCACGTCACTGCAGTTAGCTAATATTCCCCAGATCTAATTGATGGGGGCACCATTAACGCAAAGTTGAACATCATCTGTCCCACAAAGCCTACAGACCAGATCTTCTAGGTAGGAACCACAAGGAACACAATCAGCTGCCCATGCAGTTCCGCTTCCCATGTGCAATGGAAGTAAAAAACATGGAATAACAAATTCTACATGGATTTTGCGGCATTAGTGACTATAGTGCCTTCGCCACAGACCTCGAGGACCACAGTTCAAGTCCCTGCCCTGGATCTACCTGTATATAATAATAATAATTACTTTATTGATCCCCGCGGGGAAATTGTCTTTACGCATACCTCAACTTGCTTTTTTTTTATTTTTTGTAGAGTAAGTTGTCCGCGAAGGGCAGTCACCCGTAGCGGCGTCCAGGGTTCTCTCCAAGTTGTTCTCTCCATGATGTCATTGGGGTTTCCTCCTTGCTAAGGTGAACTAGAATTGCCATATTGTCCATAGGTATGAATATGGGTGTGAGTGGTGTGTGTGCCCCATGGTGATGCATAACAAACTGCAGTGTACTCTGTACATTTGGCGAATAAGCTGATTCTGATGAGTAGGTGCCCCATCCTGGGTTGCCCCCTGCCTTGTGCCTGTAGCTTCTGGGACAGGCTCCAGACCCCCACGATCCTGCATAGGAGAAGCAGGTATAGCGAATGGATGGATGGACATGGTATTCGTTTTGGGTATGTGCTTGGATTTTCTACATAAATTATTACAAATATCAGGGTTTAAGCAGTGTTTGTGTAGTTATGTGATGCAACCATCTGAAATATGAATTAGTGAAGTTCATAAGCTATGTGACACATTCAGCCCTGGGCCACTTAAAGTACTGCACACTCAGTCTCAACGCTTCAAGCCCTAACCAGTGTGTGTGTACATGGGTATGAAGCAGGACATGTTTGAAAGAGGTTCATTGCTCACAGATGAGATTATGCTGAGCTGAAGGGCTCAGCTGCTCCACACATCATATGTACGGTCTTACAGTTTGCTAGATAATGATGCCCTATCATGCATGTGTCATATGCTATCAAACATCTGAGAATAAGCGTATGTGCATAGTAATACCTCACTTTAAGTCAGAAATCGGTTGCAAAAGGCATGACTTAAGTTGAAAAATTACTTAACATGAAAAACCCCTAAAAAACTATTTAGACCCCATATCAGCACCCAATAAGCATTTCCCTTAAATGTATAAACGCAGCGGAACTTGGAGTTATTGGCCCCAAATACCAGTCAAATAAGACAATACGTTTTAATTTATAAGCTTTTATTTGATTTAATACAATATATTTTACATATTTTAACATTGCCTGACCAACTTAAGATGATTTGTATTTTTTCTACATACTGTATTTTTAACGTAGAGTCGAATTCGACGTAAAGCGAACCGATGTATGATGAGGCATCACTGTATTATCAATCCACATTACAAATAACCCCCCAGTGACTTAAGTGGTGCCAAACTGAGTAAACGAGACGTACCAAACAGGGGCTCACGTTCCATCCTTCCTCCCATCATGGTCACTGGTTGAGGAAGACGCCTATCTCACACTCTGTGGATCATTTGAGCCTGTCTGAGACACACCTGTGGCTGCGCACACTTATACAGGGCTTTTCGCTCACAGCAGATAGACGAGTGAAGGGTATTTACAACAAAACAGAATGCATTTCTACCTGAAAGGACACTGGAGAAATGGAGCAAACGCTCTGACTTTTCAAAGGACACACCCCCACAGAATGCTGTCACATGGCATAAAACAGAGTGAAGAGATTATGTGACAGGAATCATACTGCTGATGACTGGCCTACTAAATATTTGCCATGATGAGTACAATGTGGAAATCTTACAGTACCAAGCAGGCTTGTAGCCAGAAATGAACTTCATGGGCTGTGCCAAGGGAAAGGCCCGGCATCTGGAGGGGACAACCGGGGAAGGTGTCCTGGGGTCTGCACTGAGGAGGGACCCAGAGAAGAAGGTGACCCTCATGTAGGGTGGCTCATTGTAATAACTGTCTTGTACCCAGGAATTGTGCACACCAGCCCTGCTGAGAGGGACATGTCCAACGCATTTTGGGGGATTCTACCCTATCTATATAAATGGTACCAAGCACTATAAATAGGGGCCACCCCACGAGAGCGAACCCATAAAAAAAAAAACATCTAAATGAGGGGATATATGAAACATTTTCAGCAGTTTCTGCCCCATAAATGCCTTTGAAAGGAGCATTGAAATCAAATCAAAAGGTCACTGCGAAGACCCTTAAGGGCATGCACTGTCACCCGCACGAGCCAATCACGCAGCTCCATGGTGACATCTACGAATGTCATGCTTGCTGGACTGAGGCATGAGTCACTCATCTGCAGCATTGCTGTCAATCTTATTTGAACTCATTGTGCTCAGTTCTAATGAAATACTCAGTTAAGCAATTCAAGCTAATCACACTGAATGAATTAATCCAAATTCATCCTGATGTAACCGCTGCACCCCCTGCAGAGTAGATACAACAGAATAATTAGGAGTTGGATGCATATTCCTGTGCAATTCAAGAAAAAATGTTAACAAGAAGTCTAGTAAGGTGGAGCCTGCCATCATCTGAGAGGACCGAAGGAGAGGACACAGTGGTTATGATGGGAGACACAGAGATGACAGGCGGCCCTGGAGAGACCCAGTGATGCTGCGGCGGAGGGGCTGCTACAAGAACAAGAACAGTTACCCTGTCTGCCTGACTGATCACTTCACTTTATAGACACTTGGGATGATTGTAGTGCAGCTCAGACTTGGACGCATGAGCCAACAGGAACATCAGGAGTTTTCTGAACAACAGGCACCGGCCTCTTTCCACTCCCTGGCCATGTGACCAGCCCTCTGGCCATGTGACCAGCCCTCAGTGCAGGATACAGGGGGAATGCAAAAATCACCTCAGATGAGGGGTTGGATGACTGAAGCAAAGCAGCTTTTCAACTGCCCAGCTACATGACTAATGGTCAAAGGGTGGTACTCGCTACCCGGGGGGGGGGGGGGGGGCAGAATGATGCCCAGAGGGAAGCTGGGTGTGGAAGGAGCGGGAACTGCCTGGAGATGACACTGGTCAGCAAGTTCGGCAAGCAAGTCCAACCAAACAAAGTAACACTCAGATCATAGAGCTGCAACAAGCATAGTGTGTAAAGCAGGCGTTGTGTGTTTATTGCCAAGAACAGAGTATCCAGACCACAATGCTTTGGTGAAGGACAAAAAGATACCTGTGGGTGACAACCTGGCATCAGCCTCCAAACTCATCTTAATCAGGACTGTGAGGGAGTCAGCAGAAGCCGTGGCTCCAACAGGAAGCTATACGTCTATTTCTTTCAGCTGTTACTGAAGTCGGTTACCTTCTCTTGTGCATCACCAATGAGTACACTGCCGCCCAGTGGAGAAAGACATAAACTGCAATGAGCAAAGGTTACAAATGTTTCCAAACGGGACAGCTGTTAAAAAACACGCAAAATGATAAGTGTAGCAAATGGTAGGAAAACACGGAAGGTTCCCAGGAGCAGCCCAGCCCATGGTCACCACCCTCCTGACAAGTGCCCACCTTACACTGAGAACTACAGTTCAACTGCTCCCTCCTGTTCTAGACATTCAGTACACCTGCACTCATGCAGCGCCTCACCCATGGGTGTAAATTATGGGGGGATGGGGGGGTTGTAACCCCCCCATCAAACCCAGCCAATACAACCCCCTGGACCCGGGCAAATATATGGGGATTCATGACATCATCATTATTATTGTGAAATGTTTTAGTAAAAAGACTTTTAAAAAGAAGTTCTATTTTAAAAAACAAGTTTAAAATAGAAAATATTGAGAGCTTCAGAAAATGTCTATTCAGCACCACATGAAGAGATGCTAGGGTCAGACTGGGTGTTTTAGACGTAAAACCACAGTCTGCTGTCATCAGTAACATTTTGGATGGAATTTGCCCTGACTTGTCTAGAATGTGTAAGGTGCACTCTTCGTAGAATGTGACACTCCGTCTCTAGAGTTTGCATGTAGTGCTTGAGAAATTGGTTGCATATAAAGCAAAGGATATAAATGATTGTTTTTATAAAGAGCCATGCACTGCTATGTTTGTATTTTACACATTATTCTGAAACATTGCTTCCAAGTCATTATTTCTGCGTCGTTATTTTTTAAAGGAAGTTTATAATTACACATAACGTGTGGTTTTCTATTTGGTCTGTGGGCGCGGTTCTCTGTTCTGCTCATGGTGGGCATTGGGTTACGGAAGCTGAACAAACGGGCTTTTTATACTAACACCATTTAACGGGAAGTGAAATACTAATGGTGTGTTCCATTTGCCCTCGGAACTCGGGTTCGAGTCGGATATAATTTGGGGCTGGACCACGGCAAAAACAATGCCAAGCACAAGCACCTACCCGAGTAGTAAAATAACGTGCTCGAAACCCCCTCGAAATTCACTTTTGGCTATGGACCAGTTCCAGAAATTTCTATTATATTTGAAATGTTGGCAGTAAAAATTAACAACAAAAAGCAGCATTTAAAACACTACCAGTCATCGGAGAATTACACATATTCGAAATCAATTTAACTTTCCTGCTATTGATCTAATGATGTGGTATAACACGTCAAAATTAAAACACTACTTTCTGCAATACCAAACCCTACCTTTTACTGAGGTGTAGGCAAGTAATTAGATGTTCCAATTTAATCGCATTCACTTTCTTTGACTTTTTGAGAACTCATAGCACGCAGCTTGTGCAGCTGCAATCTCCGGCCCCTAGCTGTGGGCTCTCTCAATGTGCCTGACAAAGTGGTGTAATATTATCATTATTGTTATTATATGAATAGATAAAGCATATTGTACAAGAAAGTAGCGGTAGGCAACAATTCAGTCTATCAGCATTAGCCAGCTAACCCGCTAGCCGGCATCCAGCCATTGGACACGTCATAGGTAATGGACGGAAGTGACAAAACGATGAGAGCAAGGGTGGAGATACATTACTTCATACGTATTTTCGTCTTCAGCAAAGTGAGTACTGCCTTCCTACTTCTATTCGGAACGCAAAATTGTTAATACATATATTCGTGTAAACTGATACGCTGTATTGGTTTAAAAGCTAGCGTAAACACCAAACCACACCACAGTGTTCTGTGCGCGCACATAAATACGAAGTCGGCCAAAGTTATATATCTCGATATTGATAGAATAGCTGTGAGGACACACACCCTCTTTCATTCCCCCCTCGGATAAACCGGCCAGGGTTTCCGGAAATTTGCGAACTCGTGATGCCAGGAGGTGTATGGGGATTTGTGCAGCTTTCCAGCTAAAGATTTTTTCTTAATTAAATGGGTAAGAAGTGTAGATCTATGGGTAGGATAACAAGTAAATAGCAAGCCTAATTATCCGAATAGATAGCAGAATGACATGGTCATAGTTTTATTTTTCCCTACTTTCGGGACTTCAGCAAAGCCTGGTTGAATTTAGTACCCGCCAGCCGTCCTTCACCCTCTACTAACATGAAGCGGCATTCTTTAGAACAACTTTCGGATTTTGGTGATTTTAACAGAGGTAAAGATTTGCGTGAGTTCTTAGCACAGAACCATTCGACTTGTGGTTTTAACAGCTATTTGCAGGATGTACGCATTAGTCCGGACGGACAGCACATACATGCCATTCTCCGCAAGCCAAACACCGGTCTTATGACTTTTGATAAAAGCCAAAGACCTCAGCTGATTCCAAGCCAAAATCGCCTGGATTTGGCTTCGACGCCATCCGAGCCCGTCGTGGATGTGGTGTACCTCGAACAGAATGGCAAAGACGGCTCTTCGGCTGTACTGGCTGTGGTATTGGAGAATGGCAAAGTCGAATTTTGGAAATACTGCGACCACAAATCCGGCTGGATCTTACAGCAGACATCGGACCTGTGCAACAGCCCCAGCGCCAAAGTGATTTCTGTCTGCGTAAGTGCCAAATGCATAATATGGTGCGAGGAGCGACCACCTTCGGAGAGCTCTCCCGGCGCAGCCCGCAGTAAATTCAGGTACTGCTTGTGCAGACGAACTTACGAGGTGCTGGGTGGTGGTGGTGTCTCTTTAGGGGGGGTGAAAATCGCTCTGCATAACAGCCCTCCTTACATTGTCACGGTGGCGGGTGACAATGTTTACCTGCTTCCCGATGGAATCGACACTTCTCCAGCGAACGTCTCCAGATTCTTCTTTATCTGGTCGCTGCAGTGTGATGCTGTGACCATTGGTACTACTTGCAGTGGGCGGCTCATGTGGCAGGACTTTTCGTCTAGTAAGGAAACCGATTTCAGTAAGTTAATTTGTGACGGTGCTGGTATGCTGTCCATTATGAACCCGCCAGAAATACGTGCCTTTTCCCCGACTGTATGTGGGGGGGTGATATTGCTCCTTAGCTCGGGATGGATCTGCAAGTTATCCACAGATGGCACTCTACGCCATATTTACAAACTGCCGGATAATTGTTTAATCGGTTATGAGGTGCAAAGTAGCTTGAACATATACAGTGGTCTGCTGGCCTTGACTGTGGCAAGGATGCTGTATTTGATTGACGCTGCATGTGGTCTGGAGTTGGAGAAGATACCACTGGAGAGAGAGGCAGTACTTTTTGTAAACAGCCAGGAGCGGGAAACCCCACACCTGCTGTCGGAGGGGGGGCTGTTCGTGGTCCAGCGCAAGGAGTGCGAACCTGGGCATGAGCAGCTGGGCCACCCAGAAAGCCTTGAGGTGGGCTCTGTACTGGTGGAGGCTGTCTTTGAGGAGGCCTGTAAGTATTACCAACAGAGGAGTCTGAGCAGTGCCCAGCTGACCGTGGAGAAGCTCAGGAGTGGAGGCATGTTCCAGGCACCCATCACCTTGTCCTCCATCCTCAAAGATTACCTGAATGGCCAGAAGAGCAGAGATATGGCCCCAAGTGACAGCTGCCATGGCAAGTTGCTCGGTGCCCTGGAAGCTGAGCTCAGAAGCCTGCTGGTCCTGGAGGAAGCCAAGCTGTCCATGCTGACAGCCTCAAAGGCAGACGTGACCAAATACTGCGAGACCTTGGTGCATGACGAGGTCCGCAGACTCCTGTGCTCCGAGATGGACAGGGAGAGTCTCCTCTACCTCAACGCCATCGTCGGCACCTTTCCCTTGGAGTCATGGCAGACGGTGCAGAAGGTCCTCCAGCTGCAGTATAATGGTGAAGGATCCCTCTCCAGCTCAGCACCCCCAGAGGTGTGGAAGACCGTCCTGAGTCCCATCCAGGCGGCCGCTCGCTCCCCGGTGGCCCCGGCCAACGTGGCCATGCCCGTGTTCGAGCTGCTCTGCAGGGCCGTGTACCACTTCCAGCCCAGCTGGCTGCCCCGTTTCCTGGAGCTGGCGCAGCAGCAGGCCGGCCGGAGCCACGGCGTGCCGGAGAACGCGGAGAGCCAGCCGCTGTACCGGCGGGCCCTGGCTGTGCTGCCCAGGGCCGGCGACCAGCACGACCTGGAACTGGAGCTGCTGCTGTGCAGCCAGAGGCCGCACGCCGTCCTGCAGGCCCTGCGCATCCTGATGGGCCGCCGCGACTGGCAGCGTGTCACCCAGGTGGCTCAGCGCTTCAGCCAGCAGAGTCCGCTGCTCAACAAGGAGATCTTCATCAGTCTGCTGTGCGAAGTATCCCAGCACCGTGAGCTGGATCCCTACCTGGAGCTGCTGTGGGCCCTCTGTCCTGAGGATATGTCAGCGACCAGCATCCTGAACACAGTGCTGAAGAGCCTCCCCCCTACAGACCCCGGAACTGACCCCTTCCAGACTCACGGTGCCCAGCTCACCATCGGGCTCCTCCGCCCTCTGCTCAGCCGCGTGCTCCAGAGGGACACCAAGCCCAGCCACCGGTACGCAGACATCCTGCAGTCCCCTTCCTTCCCTCCCCCGACACCCCCCCGGCAGGCCAGGGGGCTCCCCAGGTCCGCCACAGACAGCGGCGTCAGCCACCTAGACCACGGCCAGACGGCCTCCTGTGTGGTCAGGATGACATCACCGCCCCATCACATGTAACCTCCCATTCGCTACCGAGGAGGAACGTGGGAGCGGTCAGCACCTCTGTGGACATTCTCCCCATAACAACCAAAGGTTAGGCATCCAAAACATGCTTCCTGGAGTAGGCAAGAGGGACTGCAAAGCTGGGACACATTTTAACATACAGTCAAGGGTGTATAACACTATATGAGGCTGCATGACCCTTGGAAAGCAGGGGGGGGGGGGGCGCTTCTGTAATTGCCCGATGTATGTAAATCTGTAGACATTCCATTGTCCTGCCTGTATATTAGGTCACAATGCAGTAAGCTGTGCATGTTGATACAATCATGTTAGTCATGTTATAAAGAAAGCCATTCTGCATTTGCCTGAGACTGAAAATGCAAGGAGACATTTGCTAGCAATTAGCCAGACGGCTGCCTAATCATTAACTAACATACGTGTCCTGCTGAAAATACATTTCCTTTCCTCACGTATATATTGGTATCATTGCAGTTGTAATTGGAATACTTGTATTTGTAGCTATATAGACGGGGCACTGAGGTGTACAGGTTCCACATGTTCGCATGGGATGGTGCAGCAGACGTGTCTCGCACTAAAGGGGTTCTCTGTCCAGGTGGTTTTGTGGACTGAGGCTGCTCTGCTCTCATCCTCAGCACGGCCTTTTAAAGGGACAGGCCCTCTGTACCATCGACAGCCCTGACTCTGCAAGCTCAGCCATTAGCCAGCCTTAATGAACTGTGATAGTAGGATACAGGAGAAATCGGGCAGTATGACAGATGGTGCTGTGTAGTAAATGTTGTTCGCCTGAGATGTGCGCAGAAGAGCTTTCAGTTCTGTTTTTCTGGTGTACGTGAGCCTGCCCTCAGCTTCCTGTGTCTCACTGGGGGAACAGTGCAGTCGTAAGGCCCTCTGGACACTGCACACCTGGCTCCTACCGTACACCCTGCTTGTGCTTCCTGGGGGGAGGGGCCTCCCTGAAGGGTGTAGGCTCCGCCTCCACCTCCCATCCTTAGAGGATGAACGTCCAGCTGCTTCTCCCAGTGTGATGGTGAAAAAAAAAATGCAGATTCATTAACATATGGCAATATCACTCCATCCCGCATAAAAGTAAGATGATAGTTTGAGCTTTTTGGAGAAACCTCATTTGAGTATTTTCCTGTTTTATTTCAGTGCCTAAAAGTAACTGAGTGAGATATTTATGTAACATTCCTGACTAACTTCTCTTTAGTCCATGATTTTTTTTTTTTTTTACAAACATTTTAATATAAAAGTCTCTTTATGGAAGTTTGAATTTTACTGAAAGCACAGCGCATCCTGAAATGGAGAATAGCATCAAGCTGTGTAAACACTAAACTGTGGCCGAATCCAGTGAGATCATACTTTACTGTCCTAAGTTTGTAGTCTTTCAGAAGTCATGAATGCCAATTCGCTCAGCCCAACAGGTCAATGAAAGCTGCACGTAGGTGTGCAATTAGAGTAATGGGCAAATAAGACTCCAGCATGATTTTTGTACAAATATAACATATGACTGCTAATTAAAGTGTTGTTTGTGCTCTCGCTGCTGGTCAATGCTTGTGAAAATTGCATGGTGCACATGATTGTATATAATAGGAGGGGCTCGGGAAGTGACACCAGACAGGTCCCGTACTTCACCGGTGACGGACCAATCAGACCAGTGTTGTAAATACCTCGGATCTCCACTAGGGGCACACCTTTCACATCTCACTTTAATAGCGCAGCATTTTAATGCTATACAAAACAATGGCCGTGATTTTAGCTGGCTGTGCAAACATGGTCACTCTAAAACAAATCGTATTTAATTAAAGGTAAGAAAAAGGGTGGTTGCATTTTTATTGCAGGTATTTATAAAAAATATTGCATACACCATGGAAAAACCACAGAAATGCTTTAATCATTTTCTAATATTCTACTCCTGTTTGATACAAATCTTCTTATAGAGAATGCTAACCCTAGCAAGATATTCCACAAGTAAACAAGGTAAAATTGGGGACTGGGCCAACCTCAACACTAGAATTAACCCATAATGAGGTCTGTCTACTGGCCTTGCAGGGAGCCTTAAGAAACGTGTACAGAGGTCTGGGAGCCTGGGGGCTGTGGCGACATGTCAGTGCTTGTGAGTCTCCTGGTCTTAGGCAGTATTCACCAGGTGGTGCCTGTGGTCCCAGACCATGACTGGACCCCTGCAGCATCAGGTGGGCCCATCAGCTGTACGGGGCCTGGGGGATTTGTGTCAGCTGGATGTCATCCCTGGGGGCACAGGGAATATGGGGTGGGGCGGCTGTGAGAACCGAGATGCAGACACCGGCCTACAGACCTGAAGGTGCAGACCCTGATACTCACTCAAATGTGTCGGTGTATTTCATCCTCCTGTAGAACTTGGCCAGCTTTATAGAGAAGATGATGCTGGGAATGAGGAAGATCAGGCACCAGCCCAGGCTAAACCAGAAGGCATTCTGGGGGGGGGGGGGTCAGGTAGACGTTTATCTGAGCACAGAAGGAATTGCCACAGCTAACAGCATGTCCCGGTTCTCCAGAGGTCACACCATGTGCTCTTACCAGAGAATCCACCAGGTAGGAACAAGCCACCACCTCCAAGGAGTCCAGAGCCCCAGCCACTGGCCCACAGCAGCCCACGTCCTGGGTGACCTGAGGACAAAAACGACCCAGGGACAGCAATTCCACCTCCAGACTGCACCATGAAGTGCTCCTGGTACAAGCTGGATTACCTACGATCCAAATAAGCCAGGTGGCGGTTCTGGAGCAGAGAAAGGCCTTAACATGACAGATCCAGGTTAGAGAGGGGTGACCTACTGTTGTTTTTGCCCAGTCAGCAAATGCTGTAAAATATTGCATCTGACAATCCAGGAATCTGCGGCAGTTCTTCACAAAAAAAAAAATCAAGTCAAAATTCAGCCTGTTGACCATCATAAATAAAGCTGATCTATTACCCGATCAACTCCTGAAGGAGTTTATTTTTAGCGTCTTAGCACACTCACAGCGTTTACTATCACTGAGGCATTGATGTCCAGGAATTTCTGAGCATTTTCCAGTTCAACCAGACCAGTTTCCATGGTGCTCTTAGGGAAATGGGCGAGAAAGGGGCAGGCGTGAACCCTCTGGGGAAAAGCAGTCTGCCCCCTGATGGCCGACCCCTGTAGGTACAGCTAAGCAAAGAACATCTCACACCTGTCACATTGTTCATATAGCCCACAGAAGTAGAACAAAGATGGAGGGTCACACTCACATTTACTTGTGCACAGGTGGCCAAGAGACCATGGAGGGTGGAGTTGAGATCCCTCTGGAAGGTAGAAATGCATGGACTGGTCATGGTCTTCAGACTTTTAACACAGAAGCAGAGTCTCTGGGGAATCTGCATCCTAATAACCTCCAGGCTGCTCCTGATATAAAGGCCCAATCTGGTGCCAGGCTTTCTGATTGCTGTGTCCTGATAGGCAGCTTTAGACCCAGAGCCATATTAAGATACACCCTGCTTTAGTTTCCCAAAGTATTAACTGATAAACAATAATAGAAATGGTGCCCATCTGGGGGCATGCATGGGTGTGGTCACAAGCATGTCAGGGCAGCCATGTCCGTATGGGTGTGGTCACATCCATGTAGGGGCAGCCATGTCCGTATGGGTGTGGTCACATCCATGTAGGGGCAGCCATGTCCGTATGGGTGTGGTCAAATCCATGTAGGGGCAGCCATGTCCGTATGGGTGTGGTCACATCCATGTGGGGGCGGCCATGTCCGTATGGGTGTGGTCACATCCATGTGGGGGCGGCCATGTCCGTATGGGTGTGGTCACATGCATGTGGGGGCGGCCATGTCCGTATGGGTGTGGTCATATCACCAAACAGTCCCCAGGCATTGTCAGAGGACAGGCAACCATGTGCTGCCCTTCTAGACCCATCAACACACCGCGTCTGGCATGATGTCCTCGCTGATGCTGAACTGGATCTCTCTCAGCCTAGAGGCCTCTTCCAGCAGCTCCATGCTCACAGTGCTGCCTGACTGCAGGGAGAGAGAAGGAGGGGGTGTTAGGATCAGGGCTGGCCCCCCTGCTCCTAGGAGGCAAGATGCATATCACTCACAGTGTTACGTAACTGATCCAGCATGTCTGCAATCTTGTTCAGGGATATGTTGGAAAGGAAATCAATCTGCAAAGGAAACATGTTGAGGAAGTTGGTCACTAGGAGGCTCATGGAACTTTTACCTATGCAAAAATGTTCTAACAGCAGACCGCAAAATGATTGGTTTAGAGAGAGATAACCAATCAGATTGTACAGAAGGTGGGACCAAGACATCTGATTGGTTGGTTCTGCCTCCTCTAGTTGCTTTTTGTATAAGTAAAGCTCCCAAGAGCCATTGGGAGACTGGGATATAGTGTCAGCCTATTCGGGGGGGGGGGGGGGTGCTCCCTGTGACCACGGCGCACCTGCTGGGAGATGGCCCCCGGGTCCACAGCCTCTGACACAGTGGACAAGCCAAACAGCTGCTTCCGCAGATCCGGCTTCAGGAAGCTGACACTGTTCAAGGTGATGTTCCTTTCGAAAAACTGCCTCTTGATTTGCTCGGCGTACTGTCAGGGAGGGGGGGCACAGCCATGTGACATGGGCAGCAGGCGTCCCGGGCATGGGTTAGGACTCAGGCTCTCACCTCGGTCACGTTGAAGATATCGTCGAGATCGAACACGTCCTGTAGGCGCAAGGCGTTCCACAGGGAGCTGTTCTGATGGCAGTCGCTGGAAGCAGGAAGACGAGGGTTCAGCTACACAGCTTCACCCGGCAATCTGAAGGGATCTTATTAATCCACAAAAGGCCTCACTGAGATGCAGAACCTGCCCAGATGCCCGGTCTCACCTGTAGACGTCACTGAGGGAGACGTTGGTTTTTAGGTCTTGCAGCTGAGATAGGGGGACCCTTGGAATCAGCCCTGGAGTCTCAATGATCTGTGTACAAAAGTTGGGGGAATTATCTATACAAAGACTGGGGGAGTCACACACACAGATTGGGGAGGGTGACATGCACAGGAGGGTTATAGGCACAGACTGAGGGTCACACACATAGACGGGGTGTTACCTGGAACAGCTCCTGGTTGTGGATGGGAACACACAGCAATGCGTACACATTCCCCCCTATCAGGAAGGGGATGGTGACCACCAGCATTAGGATCCAGCCAAACAGGAAGCTGAGGCCTGCACCTCTGCAACAGCAAGGAACCTGTCAGTCCTGTCACCCACCCATCACCCGTCCATCACTCCTCCATCGCCCATCCGTCAGCCTGCCCTCTGTGGGCCTCCCAGTGCCAGTGGGTATGCTTGAGGCAGAGAGCTTTGTGGATTTGTGGAGATGTCAGCCACTCACGCCATGAAGAAGAGCCCCGCACAGTTGGCCGTACTGGAGCGTTCAGTCGGGTCCACTTTAGGCCGCAGTCCCAGCGGACCCAGCAGCAGCCCGAGTGCGTTACACACCACCACCAGCAGAACCACACAGCAGAGAACCAGGCATGTGATCCACCTGCAGACAAGGCCACAGCAGGGGTCAACAGCTGAAGCCAGCGGCAGGGAGACTCGGGGCGCCACGTGACCGAGCATGGACCTGTATTTATCTGCCGTCTGCACGACAGGGGTGGCGGTCTCGATGGAGTGGGTGGTGGCCTGTAGCAGCATGGACACGTCCGACAAGACCTGCGTGGGGAACCTCTTGGACATCTGGGAGATCTGATCTTTGATGTTCTCCAACTGGCGCTTCACACCTATGTGAAGTGATGGAGCCCGTGTCAGGTGACCAGGCTGGGAGGGGGGTGGGGTGGGGGGAGGTGGCTCGACTCACTCTGAACTGAGGTTCTGGTCACATTGGACACCCGCTGGGGAATCCCTCGCAGGAAGTCCTCTCCCTGAGACATGGAGCAGCATACCGTTTAGGGCGTAACACGGCAGCCATTACTGAGGGCGCATGATGTACTTACAGCGTTAAACCCGGCATCCATGTTCATGCTGAGCAAGTGGTCCATGACAGACTGGAGCTTTGTCAGGTTCGGCGTCTGGAGAAGATGCAGACCGGGGGTCAGAGAAGCAGAGCATTGAGCATCATTAGGAATGAAGTGATGATCGGTCACTAAACAAAAAAACCTACAATTAATTTAATGCAAACCACTAAAACTTTTAAAAGACAAAATGATTTTAAAGAAAAGGTTATATCTGAGTTTCGAAAGCAAATAGACGAGCGCGCATGACACTGTGCCCCAGCCCCCATGGTCCCCGGGGGCTCCCTGGGCCTTTAATTACTGCCTCAGAGGCTTTGTGGCCCAGAGGACACGGACCCCCCCCTGTGCCACAAAGAATAGCCCAGCAGAGCCCATCCAACCGGGGCAGATCACCACTGCAGGCGTTTCCTGTTTTGTGTGTGTGTTCAGGGGAGGGGGGCTTCCTGAAATGGGGGCGGCAGCAGGGCTCACCGCGAAGCTGACGTCCACACTGATGGCGCCCAGCAGGCTGGTGAAGTTGGCGTTGTGCAGAGTCAAGTTGATGCTGCTCCCCACAGTGCGCAGGCTGGCCTGCAGGTGGCGCACTTTGGGCTGGAGCTCCTGCAGTGTGCCGCTGAGTCGGGCCAGGCTGTGGCTGGTCACGTTCACCGCTGTGACAACAGGGCCAGAGAGAGGGGACAGACAAAGACTGGCGGTGACACCAGGGAGTGTGTGTCACCGAGATCACAGTTCCTCTGAACGTGATGGTAGACAGTTCCTGTCTGTTACGGATGCTGCTTGTGATACACATAAGATGTTCAGTGTTTTTAGAAACAGAATTTACACACACACACATATATATATAGATATATACATAGATTGTACCAAGAACACCCAATAAGGCAGCGTTTCTCATGCCGGTACCTTGAGACATCTGGCGCACAGAGAGCAGAGCGCCGGACAGATGCTCCCTGAAGCTCTGCTGGATATCTGTTCCCAGTGACGGACCAAGGTCTGGGTTTTGGGGATCAAATGAAGAGAGGTGATGAGGGGTGACACAGCGCCCCCCCAAGGCGGTCATGGGTCCTTCAGCAGCCCAGCACACATACCGGTCAGGTTGGCCCCCATCTCGTCCAGGGTTGCGAGGCTCTCATTCACCACGGTGTTAATTTGCTGGTTCACAAAGACAGAGACAGGTGAGTAAAGTATCACTTACCTGCGTGCTGCTTACCGCCCCCTGCTGTTTCGGCGAGACAATGGAAGAACCTGCAGGAGAGCAGACAGGTAGGTCTGGACGTTGCTCATGGCACCCTTGATGCCTGACGGAGCACGGCTCATGGCAACGGACATGGAATGGTTACTGTAGAACATGCAGACGTTTCCTGCCCTGAGCAGAAACAGGTCGTCAGAGAGCCAGCAGGGGGCAGTATCGCTCTCTCTCTCTGTCTCTCATACACACACACGCACGCACATACTCATCAGTGTAATGCTCACAGGATGATGACAGTAGTGAACAGTGTGGCCCTGTACAGGCCCCTCCTCCATTTGTTGATGTCCGGACTCTGCTCTTGATACATGTGACCTCCACAGTTACCATAGCAACGGCAGCAGGCCAAGCACAAGCCGGCCAGAGGCATCAGGAAGACGTAGAGGAGGCCAATGGCGACGCAGATGAGGAAGCCTGCCTCGTAGCGTAGAACCTGGGGGTTGAGACCCACGACAGTGAGCATCACACCCTCACCCTGGCCCTCGCCAGTCCCGTGATGCCTGACTGAGGGCGACCCTGAGAGTGTCGTATGTGTTTGACAACGGGCGCCCCCAAGATGGGTCCAGCCAGACCCACCTGTCTGATGGTCTCCTGATTCTGCAACTTGCTGTGATCGTTCAGCGCGATCCGGAGCAGTTCTGAGAACAGGAAGATACAGTGTCAGCGTCCAGCAGCCCAATTCCACCTCCTTGACATCACTATAGAAATGGAGACTTATCTGCCTCAGCAAGATGATTATGAAGGTATCATGCAACTCATGGGAATTTTACTTACACAAAAATGTTCTGAGGACAGAAAGAAAAACTATCTGATTGCTTGGTCCCGCCCCCTCTAGTTGCTTGGACCCTCCTCCTCTACAATCTGATTGGTTATCTCTTTGAACCAATCATTTTTATTGCTCTGCCCTCAGAACATTTTTGTGTAAGTAAGATTCCCATGAGCCATCCTGTACGGAGCAGCTCTGCGCTGGAGATCCCACCCAACATCTCTTTATACACGTCAGTACAGCTGGTGGCCCCAGGATTCTCCTCCATCCATAAAAGCATGGTGGATTCCCATCGAGCTACCCCAGTCATAGGCCTGAACAGACTCAATTTCACTCCACAGCTGATGGTGAGAAACCCTTTTGTCAGCTACAGATACTTCACACGCAGCGCAAGCCCAGCTTCAAACATGATCTTTTCCCCATTGTCCAGATACATTTCAGTCTTCAGGCATCACATGACATCACATGACATCACTGTGATCACATGACGTCACATCACATGACATCACATCACATGACATCGCCAACAGCCTCCCGGTATATACTGGTCACTGTTCATTCCACCCTGTCTAATGGATCTGAGGCAAACCGGGCCAGCATCTGACCCAGAGGGCAAAGAGGGCTCTGTGCATGGGTCTGGGTGTTACCACAGTATGCACAATGCCCTATTGTGTCCAAGCTCGACATTCCTGGGTGTCCATTTACATGAGGAAGTTCTATGATCCCAGCTACCTGTACACAGCTGTTATTGGCAGTGCTGGGCTTCCTTGGAGCCGCATCTGAGGCCTGCATGCAGAATCGTGGCTGGCAGGGTCACACACATCACTGGCAGCCCCCCCAGCCCTCCCCTATTTTATTTTGCATTGCCAATTTAAAAATACAAATACAATCATAAAACCCACAACACGAATGATACCATGTGGCCTATGAGGAACTAAGATGAACAGCTGGAAGATGGATGGAAAAGCATTTCAATCTGCTTGCAAATTGGCCTATGGGCATTAAACTTAAAACAGGCTGAAGCTTTCGATAGACAGTAAAGAATTGTAAGCAGCACATCTATCTATCCATCCATCCATTTTCTGAGACCATATGTCCTATTCCAGGTTGCCGGTGGTCCGGAGCCTATTCCACAGGCCAAGGGCGCAAGGGAGGAGACACCTCAGGATGGGGCCCCCGCCCATCACAGGGCACATTCACACACCGCGCACCCACACAATCACACCTAAGGGCAATTTGGTAACTCCAATCAACCTCAGCATGTTTTTGGCCTGCAAAGCAGCACAATGAAATGCTAAACTTAATTTCACAAATGAGTGAAGAGCCCTAAATCCCTCAGCTGTGATATTGAAGGAGGGTGTGGAAGTTCTGGCAAAGCAGCGGCCTGTGTGATGCAGGAAGCAGGTTCTCTGCACGTCAGAGAGGGAGACGAAGCAATGGCCTGATTTTCGTCAGAGAGCCGGACGCTGGGCTCGCTTTGGCAGGCTCCCTGCCGTGATGTGCTCAGCGTGGTTCAGGTGCTTGTGTTTCGTTGGCAGCAGAACCTAACCACCGAAAGCAGTGTGAAAACCATCCAGCCATGACGTGTCACAGAAAGCTGCGTGTCAGGATGCACCTGCACGTACTGCCTTTCTGGATTATGCTGGCAGGCCAACTGCGAGGTCGCGCTGTCCTCAGAGCTGACACACGCGTCCTGCCTGTCCATGCCCCCCCTCACAGGGTCTGGAGGCAGGAGGGAGACCCTTTTGACCCACGTTTCGCTTTGGAGACTCTATGAAGCGATGCGGCCCAGAGCTCACCTGTGGGGAAGCGGTTTGGCTGGACCGTGCCAAGGAAGCTGTGGACGAATCCATCCATGAAGCTGATGCGGGGGTCTGGCCTGACCTCCGGCAGGTATTGGACACCATCTAGCGTCCTGTGCCTGGGCACGGTGGGGCAACTGGCGGGGAGCCACTGTGCCAGGCATTGCTGTGGGATGAGAACTCCCAGCAGACACCACAGCACACTTGGTGTCGGTGCCATCAGGGACACTGATCTGGGCCTTTGTGACACACACACACACACACACACACACACACACAGTCAGCAGCATGCAGCCCTGATTCTCAGCTAATCAGCTACACTCTGCTCCCATTAATGATACGTTCCCAGGCTTCAGGGACACTCACGCCTGTATTTACTTTATTTATCTTTATTGATTTGGCCTCATGTTGGTTTAACAATACAAACGTATGCTGCCCTTTCATCTAAGCTTACATGAGCCCTCAAAAGTAGTCAGAAAACATGAAATTGGTACTGGGACGAGATGACCGTCTGGTTACTCTCATAGGCCACACTTGTCGCCCCAAGAGTCATTCAGATGACTTGGTAAATCAGCGGGGGGGTGAGCTAGATCTCCAAGGCGACCCTTAATGAGCCCCTGAGTGGACGAGGCGCAGGTCAGAGGTGGATGGATGGGCACATCAACGGCTGCCAATGATCACTGTCTACACGCGCAAGCAGCTGTGCAAACATTGCCCCCTGAAGGCCACACGGGAGATGTCGAGACACCAACTGAAGCAGGCTGTGTTTGTTTCTGGACAGAAAGGACCTTCCAGGGTACTTTTCCTGACACTGTTGGCTAATTAAACAGGATTAGCTGGAATGTTTAAACATGTTTATACACCTTCACTTCTCATGATGATTTTTCACTAAATACAATGAATGAATGTGCTTGATTTAGTTGTTCAGAAATCATTTAATCTGAATTTTTTCTACAACATTTCTAGTCACGGTAGGTCCTTCATTCCCATGAATTACCAGAGGCATAAGAACCATAAAAATGTGCGCTACTCACCACACAAACCGGGATAGTCGTAATACTGTAAACCTGAGTGCCTGCATTACAGTTTACATTTTTACTACTTCAGAATCATAATCAGACCATCTAACACAAAATTATACATAGGGCCATAAAAAGTGACTATTCAGTTAAAATATTTACTTCATAACCTGGAACGACGCATGTTGTTTATTGGAAAAATTTTCCCTGAAGCCTGGGAAATTTATACCCTTATTGCCAGCCAGACGGCGACTGCCCTGGGCCACAACAGAACCACACACGACCGCAGGACAGTTTAAAAGAGAGACCGCTAACTCGCTATGCAAACCCGGCTCCGCACAGCGTCTTACCTGCTTCCCCTTGCGAGGAGACCGGTTGGAGGAGAAGGGTGTCCGGGATCCCACAGGTGTGCGTGCTCTGCCTACCAGAAATCTGAGACAGTATTAAGAGAAGTGTAATTCGCCTCTTTTTAGACCAGCGTGGATTAACTGAAGGGAGGGATAGAGGGAGGGTCACAGCTGTATGAAAGAGAGAAGCAGGGGGGTGAGGGTTGGGCAGGGGCTGGAAAGGGAGAGACGTGGATGCAGGCAGCAGAGTCGGTGACAGAGCTAAATAGTGGCAGTCACCTCGTCCCAAGGCAGGCGCCTCCCACAGCCTCCATGGGACCCTCCCAAACCAAGCATGGAGACGTACCGCTCTGCCCAAAGCACAAGCTGTAAAACTGATGTATGAGCCCCAGATCCTGCTTCTTGAGTCAACATTTGTGTTATTTTACCATTTTACCTGGATGCAAGGACTTGGTAAACATGCACTGACATGGCACATATATGTGGATGTGAGAAGTGTGGGAGGGTTCGGCCTTTCTATGTGTACGCTGTGATTTTAAAAATCTATTTACATTTATTGAGCAGATTCTTTTGCTTAAAGCAACATACAATTCATAGAGCAAGGTCACCCAGGCCTAGGAGCAACTGGGGCTGAGGGTTAAACTCACGGGCCTTCTGATGGACCTTCTGATCATGGTCTCGCACAAGGTCCAAGCCGGCTCAGCCACACATCGCTCCGTATCACAATTGTTTTGTAGCACTGGACCAGGGCCAGGCCAGCTCAGGGTCATCTAATCAGTCCCAGAGTACTTCCCCAAACACCAATGATCCACCCCCACAGCACACCCAGACGATCAGTGTTTGGGTATGTTAGGCATGCATTTCTTGAAGCATATTTCCTGACGAGCAGTAGCGGTTTAACCGGCCTTATACAAAAAGTTAATGAATGATTCAGGGTCACAAGGTTCTGATCCCAGTTGGAGTTCCTGGTAGAGTCTCCTCACCATGATGAAGGTTAGTCACCTTAGCAGAGACTGGGCCATGCTGAAACTTCCACTACTCAGCTTCCTCCCCACAGTGACGTAGGGCCTCAATTTCTAATGTGAGGTTTACCTAAAAGAACAGGCCTAAACTCAAAGCAGTAAAATGTGGAATAATCCGGCCATCTCCGCACACAGCAGTGTGTCAGTCTCAGTTCCGACTCCATCCAATACTGAAGTAAACTGTGAACTATACCATCTGTGGCTGTCTGTCTTCTACACCAGTGTTTCATAAACCTCGGGGACCCACAGACATTCCACCTACCAGGAGCTTGGAGGGAGCAAAAATGTGGATCGGCTGTGGGTCCCAGAGGACCAGATTGGGAAACAGTGATCTACACACATCCAGACACCAGGTAACTCACCTGCATCGTATCCCACCAGACAGACACACACACACACGCACACGCACACACCTTAGGCAAAAGTATTAACACAAAAAGAATCAAACTGCAGAGAATATGTGTAGTAAAAGGGAAATATTTATTGGTACCATACATAAATTACCAATGGCAGAACCTAAGCAAAATAATATAGACTATAGCAAAGGGCAGTTTGAGCTTAAAATGTGGTACAATAATACCTACACATTTGTAAAAGGGAAACTCAGCACTCTGTAAAAGAGTCTCAAACACAGGTGAGATTATTCCTCTGAATTCAGTGACCCATAAATATTTGTATCCGCAGGCTGGGTTTTATGTGCCCTCTGGTGTCCTGCGGCAGTACTCACCAGGCTGAACAGTGCACCGCCCGCATACAATTAACTTACAAAGAAGTGAACAAAGACTTGAGTTAATTATTGCAAAAACTCAACCATAAAAATGCTAATGTACATCGATGCTTACATGGACATGATATTCAAATACTCTGGGCCAAGTAGCAGACAAGGTCCCTAATAAGGAGAAATTGCTAAACCAGTGACACACAAAACCCAGATACATACAGAACGATACATGTAAAGGGCTGATTAAACGGATGTTAAACGTACAACATGAACAGGGGCTGTACCCTTGCGACTGTGTGGCGCCTTCCTGGTGGTACAGGGGGGGCCACGGCGCTCTATGCAGAAACACAGTGAGTTACAGTACTAAAAAAAAAAAACAATAAATATACACACACAGCATCAGGAAGTCCTAAGTAATGTAAGGGGCTCTCTGAGGAGACTGAAGAAACAAACAGGATAACAGGAAAGTGTCATGAAGGTGGCAACTAGACAGCCATTTATGCTGCTGTGTGGAGGCTGCACTTACAGGCTGCTCATGGGAGTTTTACTTACACATAAATGTTCTGAGGGCAGAAGGAACAATGAGTGGTTCAGAAAGAGAGATCCAATTAAATTGTAAAGGAGGTGGGTAGAAGCTACTAGAGGAGGTGGGACCAACCAATCAGATGTCCTGGTCCCTCCTCCTGTAGTTGCTTGGACCCACCTCCTTTACAATTTAATTGGATCTCTCTTTGAACCAATTATGTGTCCTTCAGCCCTCAGAACATTTTTGCGTAAGTAAAACTCCCATGAGCTTACCGGCTACTGCAGCACACTAAAATTCCACCAACACGGTAGCGATGCCTGGCCATCATTCTGCTACACAGACCAGAGAGACAGCCCACCCCGACACCAGGCTGTCCGTAGCTATGGCAACGTCAGCCGGTCCAAACCGGAGCCGAACTGAAGCAGCAGGAAATCCCAACTGGGAGGTGGGAGGTGGGAGGGGGGAGGGGGGGCACATTTACATCTGAGTAATGACAGCTACTGCAAAATGATAACAACAATAACAGGAACAACAACATAATCATGATACAAAATCCTCGCATTAAGAGTTACATATTTATATAGTTTTATTTTCCAGTTAGAAGTCGCTAACGTTCCACGATTTGACAATCGGGACTAAAATGGAAAAAAAAAAAATTCATAGGAAAATAGATTAATGATACAGCAAAACAGTGCAAAGAATATTAAGGGGTATTTTTTTGTCCGCTTGTTGGATTCTTTTAAAAAGAGTTACAAAAATAAGAAAGCAATAAGACATAAGGAATGAACCCACTTCCCTGCACGCCGTGTGTAACGCGTCCGGAATGGAGTGGAGGCAGGTAGCGAACCGGCACCTGAACACGCTACTGCTCACGCCAATTTCTAACATTTAAGGCAGTGCTGCTCAACTCCGGTCCTCAAGCTCCGCCCCTGTACAGGTTTTTGTTCCAACCAGGTCCTACAAAACAAATAATTGGATTTTTAAAAACTGAACGTCTGTACCCTAAAGTTGCACACAATTCTTTCAAATGCACAAGAAAACAGGTGGGGGGGAGGGCAGGCATCAGCCCCATGGTGACAACAGGAAGCAAACACTCAGGGTTGGAACAAGAACCTGCCACAGCTCTGAGATCAGGCTGATGGGAGCCAGCTCCGTATGAGAGACCCGATCACAGGTCTGAGATCAGCCTAATGGGAGCCAGCTCCATACAAGAGGCCCCGATCTCAGGTCTGAGATCAGCCCGATGGGAGCCAGCTCCATAAAAGAGGCCCAATCACAGGTCTGAGATCAGCCTGGGGGGGGGCGCTCTATACGAAACTACTATGAGCCCAGAGTCAGAAGGAACCTGCAGTAAGAATTCATCACACGCAGCCAGAAGATATTAACGACCAGAATCAACAGCCGAAACCCACTGGAGGAGAGACCTAAGAACACCATTTCGCGGGGAAGCCACCCGTGTCCCCATCACACTTCCCGATACCGACTAGGGAGAGACCACTGGACAGAACGCGGGGGGAGGCGGAGTTGAGCACCACTTCTCGAGTAGGATTCTGAAGGTCATAGAATATACCGAGCTGTCCCTACATGGCCCTGCGCTCCCAGTTACTGGGACGCCTGTGACGTGGGCTTGTCACTCTTGCTTTCCTGGCTGGACGGGTTCTTGCTGTTCCAGGGGCTGCCGACACCCAGCGCGGGGGAGCTGTTGAAACTGTCCTCGTCGTCGATGCCGTTGGCTGCGTCAAACTGCGTGTTCTCCAGCCGAGTGATCAGACGCTCGTCCTCGTCCCCGAACTCCCCCCCCATCAGAGTGGGCTCCCCCACCACCATCACGTCCTGCAGGAGGGCACAGGAAGGGCCGCACACATTACCCCTCCGGGGGGGGGAGCTAGGGCCAGGCGCGGCTGCTAGCTATAGCTACCCGCACCTGAGTCTCCGTGTTAGGAAATGATGGCCTGGCTGTAGGATGGAGCTACAGCCCATCAGAGACCCTTCAAGGAGAAGTAAGGCCCTACTTCCACTAGGGGGCACCCCCCCCCCACCCACCCCCAACGCATTGCCACAGTTCTTGGCCGGTCCGTCCAACACGCTCACATCCAAACGCGTATTTCACAGCCTGGTCGGGTGCCTCTGCAGGGTGACTCCCACTGGGTCACCCCTGTGCCTCTGAGCCCCCCTCCCCCCGAGCTGCCACGGGAGCAGGCTCACCCTCACCGGATGGAAGCAGCAGCCCCACCACGGTAGTCATGTGACCAGCGGTCACCCATCAACGGCTGATATCCTGAAATCATCCCTAAGGACGCATCACTGAGTCGAGGCAAGAAGCCATCAGGTCGCCATGATGCTCAGAGCTCGGGCCAGACCGCCCCCCCCTCCCGCGCCCCCCCGCCATGCCGTGTGTGGCCCTGCCGGCCAAGATGGGGGAAGGCGATGCTTACAGGTACCTGGCTGGACAGCGGAAAGCCCCCTCCTGGGCTCTTCTTCTTGCCGCCGCTGTTGCTGTTGGCTGCCCCTCCTCCACTGACAGTGCTGCCCCCGGACATCTTACGCTTCCTGCGCTTGCTGGGGGGCTGCCTGGCCGGCTCCGCTGCGGGCACAATACAGCCGTCAGGACCCTCGCTCATTCTCACGGAGCTCTATGCCGGGCCTCCCTCCTCCCTTCTTCTTGCTCGCCCACCTGCCTCTCTCACCTGGGGGGGCCACCATCCTCTGCCACTTCTGGAACAGGCAGGTCTTCAAACAATCCCGGGGGCTCAGGCTGTACGTCTTGTGTCGAGACATCAGCTCCTGCATGGGCTCCAGGATCACACAGAGCTGCGGGGACACGCATGCACACGCAGACACACGCACGCACAAAGCGAAATACCGACACGGAAAGCACACGGACGCAAATGTATGCATACACAGCCAAGGCGAATGCAGACGCAGACATATAAAGACATATGCACACGCAGGTGAATGCAAATGAAGACATACGCAGACACGTAGCCAGAAAAGCAATACAAATGCAGATGCGCACATACACACATACAAATGCAGATGCATAAGTGCACAGATATATGCAGACATGTGCAGACACAGACACATGGGAATGAAGATGCATGCCAACAAACACACAGATGCACATACAGACATCCAATAGCAGACAAACAGAAACGGATGCAGATGAATGCAAATGAAGACAAGCAGACAGAAAGGCAATTGGACGCAAATGCACACAGACAAATGCAGACACAAGATGCAACATCCAAAAACGAACACATAGAAATGTATGCAGATGTACGCAGACACACACAGATAGAGTTTCACAGTATTACCACAATGTGGAAGGATAATGGCAGCACTGTGAACTAAATGTTTCACCTTAACTAGAGCAACACAACAGTAGATACCCAGCACGCTTCCAGGTCTCAGGTTCAGATGTAATGAACATGTGACATTATTCAAATGGGCAATGTAAGGACCATTCATCATTCGGTGTGGACAGAAGCAGGACCAACTCCCCTACAGGTTACTTATTGACTTTTAACACCGTGCCAGCAACTAGGGCTATATTCATGGTGAGTGTATAGGAATATTACAACAGATTAAATAACCCAAAAAGTACTTACTACATAAATAACTACAAAATATTACAGTGCAAATAAGATTCTTAAGAGTAGCTTTTGATAAAAAGTCTAAAGCTTCCGGCTAAGCTTTATTAAAAACATCTTTTAAAGAATCAGTAAAATGGCATCTTTGCCTAAGAGAGTTAAAAGAATGATAATTGAATAAAAAGTGTCTAACAGATGAAAGATTTCTGCATGTGAGACATACAGGTGGGTCTTCTCCTGTAGGTTTAAACTCACCCGGAGGTAATTGAGCGTGGAGTTGGACAAGCCGCAGCGTGTGATGTTTTTAGACAGCTGGTCCAGCATCTGAGGGTCCTGGGCCTGTGGCAAAGATCACAGGCGGGTTACGGGGGTGTGCCGGGCCTCACAGAGTGTCCGAGTGTGCGGTGGCAGGGGCGGCCTCTCTCACGTGCATGGCCAGGACACTGCGGGGCACTATCTCTCTGTGCTGGCGGATGCTGAAGTGCCACGTCTTGATCCTCATCATGTCGTCAAACATGAACTCCAGGTAGAGGCGGCCCTCCACACACACCTGCAGGGGGCGCCACACAAAGATTAACATACATCTTGGACTGTCACTGCCGATTATATCAATAATCAGGTAATCTACAGATTAAGCTGACAATTCATTAAATAATCATTTAAGTATAATATTAGACATTGCAACTGGCACAAAGCAGGAACCGACCGCACATTGCAGGGTGCACACTCAGTCACACGCTCCAGTTCACTTAAGTGTAATGCTTTTAGACAGTATAAGGAAATCAGTGGATCTGCCGAAAAGGCAGCCACACGCAGGGTGAGCATGCAAACTCCACACACACAAAGCGGTGGGGTGCGGCGACAGTACTACCCAGTGCACCACTCTACCACTAGGCTTGAATGATATGTGATGTTAATGTCAACATGGCATTTCATGCACATGCAATCATCACACTGCAAGGACCACGATGATCTGTGGGTTCAAGCCATAAATAAGCTCCACTAAAATATTTCTACTTGGTCTGAGGAAACCAAACTTGGCAAGCTTTGCAATTTTAATGATGGTTCCTTTTCAGCATTATCTAGCATAAGTTTACAGAAAAACAGTCTAAAGTTAATCGCCGCTGCTTTCGCTTGAGCACTGCACGCAATCTCCGAGACAGTCATAACCGTTCATAACCGTTCCCGTCCTTGCTGTTTGAACCACTCACAGACTGTGCAGTGCATTTGTGACAAATTAAACAAAATTGAGTAAAGAGGAAAAAAGTAAACAAGAACTGGACACAAAAAGACAATTCTTCTTATACATTATTCTTAAATATTTTGAATTCCATAGAGACAATATTGAGCAAAAGCAAATCTGTCGGCTCTGCTTTGTGTCTGTTGGCACAACTCACGGCAAAGCCACCAACCTATTTGACTAACCGTTGGTAGATAAGATCTATTTGGCTATATAGTTAATTTTCAACTTCTAAATATCGCAATGTAATTTTTTTCTAGTATTGGTCAGCACTATTCAAAACAAAATGTTATCAAAAATAATAAAATGGTTATTATGGATTATGTAAAATGATGTGGCTAAGTGACAAGGCTAACCTTCATTTTAACAGCGATTATTTTTACATACAGGAATCACAATAAGCAAAATAATTTAAGTCAAAGTGATGACAAGACAGGCTAGGCTACTTCAAGAGGCTAGACATACCCATGGCTAACCCTGTATTATTGGGTGAGTCCATCAAACCTGAATTTCTTTTAAAAGATGTATTTGCATTGCAGTCCTGTGTGAGGTGATATTTAAGTTCTGCTTTGCAATGCTGACAAACCACTGCATCATTCACTATTAATGTAAGGTGCTTGCACACAAATGATGCTTTTGCTCTTTATTTGGTCCCTCATCCTATATGTTCCGTCTTCCTTCCCTCGTATTGCCAAGTAATCGAGAAGGAACATTTTAGTCAAGGCTTTTTAATAATCGAGTAATTGTGACTCCTCTACATTCTTCCATATGCAATCCTGCCTGCTGTGCTTATATTGACCTAACATATTTGTGCTTAAAATCTAAAAGATGTAGGTACACGTTAGGGAGGCCTGTGCTAAGCTGGAGGATGATTGATTACTGGCCAATCATACGCGCTGCAACGATGTTTACCATCAATCAATGTGTGCATGGAGTCCCCGGGGTTTGGGGCCCCCCTGTTGGCCACAAACAGTGACTAAACTGGGGGGGTGGGTGACTTTTTAAGTTGGGCTCCAGAAACAACAAACTCGCCCTGCACACAGGGAGCCAGTCAAACCGGCTGTGAATGCCTCACCTGCGTGAACATAGGCTTGCCATTCTGTGTCACCATGGTGCACTGGTCACAGTCCAGAGACACAAAACTGTTGTGAAATGACTCCTTGGGGTGTTTCAGGACATAGTAGAGCTCAGTGGCACCGCCTTCGAAAATGCTGCGGAAATAACGCGGGATCAGCGTCCTGCCGATGGCTGAGGGGGAAAGAGAGGACAGCTGTGACCCATGAGCTGCGGGGACCAGATCCAAGGACGGGGAGATGAGGCGAGGGATCTTACTGTATCGTTTTAGGCCATCCTCCAAGCAGAAGGTGATGGTCAGCATGGCATCGTCCTCAAAGAACTCTGTCGTGAAGGCGTCCCACCACAGGTTATCACATTCCTGCAGTAAGAAGCAGACAGCCATGAAGTCCCCTAGCAGTGGAGCTCAGGGAGACCAAAGCAGGGCCCAAATCCTCACCTCTGTCCAGTTCTGGAGCCTCTTGTTGAGCTCGAACATCCTGCAGTCTGTCTGGTTGCCATAAGGCGTGTGCCTCCTATGGGAGAATAGGTCTTGGTCATCACTCAGGACCTGCACTGTGTCAATGACTACAAGCACAGTAACAATATGAGCAGCCAGCAGTTCACGGCCATCATTTCATAGGTAGCAAACTCACCCTAAGCCCGGTTCCAGGTATGCGGGAGGGTACATTGGGGTGGGACTGCAAAGAGAAGCAACCACAGTCATTAGCAGGCATGAGAAGCCATACATCGTATCTCCAGCACAGGATCACTGTCTCATGTCCATGTCTGCTGGGATGTGTTTCTTTTCATGAACTCATCCAGCATTGCATGCCATGCATTTAACTAACATCTTTAGAACCACCTGAATCTCGATCCCTGTGTTTCCCAACCTGCTCCTCGGGGACCCCCACATTTTTGCTCCCTCCCAGCTCACGGGACTGTCTGGGGGTCCCTAAGGACCAGGTTGGGAAACACTGCTCTAGGCCACCTGCTGCTCATGGTTATATTGCAGACAAGCCTGTGCTCTGGCTCTGCTGCTTTCCAGTACCCCAGTGGAAGAGGAGACATACCCCACGTCCCGGTCCAGCATGCTGCCTGGGTGAAAGGGTGGAAAGGCAGTGCCGTTCGGGGGCTCCTTTGGAGAGTACAGCTTGAATGACTTTGAGGAACAGCCTGTAGTCAAAGTGTGACAGAGAAACAGGACATTGAGTTAGGGGGATGCTTGACTGATGAGGACTGTGTGCCACATTCACCACAGGGCCTTCAGTCATCCACACCACCACGGCACAGGGTATCATAGGCAGTCTAAAGCGCAATTAGTGAATAATGAAAGCATTCTGATTATTATAGTATAGTACAGTAGCAACAATAATCATACCGAAGCCACACCAGGGACAATACAGAGAAGTACTTGTTAACAACACAGGGACTGTCACTCCTTGTATTCACTGATTGCGGGGTACAAGTAAAACTGAGGTAAAGATAAAACGGGGACTGTAGCACCGATAGTGGGCGGACCAAGATAAAGGTAACGTGACGTGTAACGTGGGGTGTATGCACCAATAGCTGGGGGGGCGAGATACAGGTAACATAGGGTGCCTGCACCGATAGCGGGGGACTGAGATATAGGTAACGTGGGGTGCATGCACCGATAGTGGGTGCCAAGGTACAGGTAACGTGAGGTGTATGCACTGATAGCTGGGGACTGAGATACAGGTAACGTGAGGTGTATGCACCGATAGCTGGGGACTGAGATACAGGTAAC